ATGTCAGTAATGAGTATGGTCTCTAGTTGTGTCCATTTTCCTATAAAAGCCTCGAGATTACCTTTCTTTATAGCTGAGTAATATGCCATTATGTAAAAATACCACAACTTTTTTATCCATTCCTCAGTGGATGGGCATTTGGGTTGCTTCCATGATTTAGCTATTACAAATTGTACTGCTATAAACATGGGTGCACATATATCGCTGTGATATGATGTTTTCAGTTCTTCTGGGAAAATATCCAAAAGAGGAATAGCTGGATTTAATGGGACCTCTAGCCCTAGTTTGCTGAGGAATCTCCAAACTGATTTCCACAATGGTTTCACCATTCTACACTCCCACAAGCAGTGGAAAAGAGTTCCTTTTTCTTCACAGCCTTGCCAGCATTTGTTGTTGGTTGATTTCTTAATGACAGCCGTTCTTACCGAGGTGAGATAAAAACCCTACAGAAAATGGGAATCGATGGTCTTTACCTCAATCTGATAAAAGCCATCTATGACAAACCAACAGTCAACATCATATTAAATGGACAAAAACTAAAAGCTTTCACTTTAAAGTCAGGAACAAGAAATGATGTCCACTGTCATCACTCCTATTCGACATAGTTCTGGAAACATTAGCCAGAGCAATTAAATGAGAGAGAGATACAAAAGGAATAAGAATAGGAAAGGAAGAAGTGAAATTATCACTATTTGCAGATGATATGATACTCTACATGAAAGACCCCAAAAACTCCACCAGAAGACTCCTAGAATTAATCAACAAATTTAGTAATGTAGCTGGATACAAAGTCAACACTATTATGCTTTTTAAAAATTTCTTTTATTCTTGTGCGTATATCGTTAGATTTTCTATATCTATATATCTGTATATATTATCTATATATTCCATATATATCCTCTATATATATTCTTGTGCATATATATCATAAAACAATATAAAAATAGCATTTTACTGTTTTTGGTGGTGTTAAGTATACTCACAATGTTGTATAACCATTATCTCTTCCATTAGCAGAATCTTTTCATCATCCCAAAGGGAAATTCTGTACTTATTAAACAGCAAACTTCCACTTTCTTCTCCACCAAGCCTGGGAAAATTCTATTCTACTTTTTGTCTTCTTGAGTTTGACTGGTGCCTCACCTAAGTAGGGTCACATAATGTTTATCCTTTTGCATTTGTTATTCCACTTAACACAATGTGTTAAAGAATTATCTATGCTGTAGCTTGCAGCATAATTTCATTCTTCATATTTTTAAAATTATTTTTCTTTTTTATTTTAAAGAAAAGAAAAATAAACACTAAAAATAATGGTATAAAATTTCACAAGATTTTAGGAGTGTAACAGTGGTTAATACATTGCATATTGTTACCTTCAAAGTAGTTGCTCATGTTACAAGATATAGGCATGAAAAATTGATAGAGCAATATAAGCATATACCTTTCCTTTCAAAGAGCTAACAGCAATCACTAGCACAACTATCTTAATTATCTTGTGTAAATACATATATATATATCTTTTTCTTTTTCTTTTTTTCTTCTTCCTCCCATTCCAGTTTCTCTTTCCTTTTGAGCATTTTCTTCCCATTTCACAGTATCTATACTCTTTCAGCTTCTTATACTAGGGAGACAGTATGATGTTTACACATGTGAGATTGATTTGTTTTACTTATGGGTATAGACTCAAGTTGCATCCATTTCCCTATAAATGTCTCAAGTTTAACCTTCTTTATAGCTGAGTAATATTCCATTGTATAAAAATACCATGCCTTTTTTATCCATTCCTCAGTTGATGGGCATTTGGGTTGTTTCAAAGATTTAGCTATGACAAATTTGCTTCTAAAGACATGGGTGCACATATATCACTGTGGTATGATGTTTTTAATTCTTCTGGGAAAATACCAAAAAGGGGAATAGCTGGGTTAAATGGGACCTCCAATCCTAGATTTTGAGGATTCTCTAGACTGACTTCCAAAGTGGTTGCACCAGCCTACATTGCCACCAACAGTGGAGAAGGGCTTCTTTTTCCTCACAGCCTGAATTTGTTGTTGGTTGATTTCTTGATGGTAGCCATTCTTACTGGGATGAGATGGAATCTCAGTGTTGGTTTAACTTGCATCTCTCTAATGACCAATGATGTTGCACATTTTTTCATGTATTTATTTGCCATTTGTATTTCTTTATCTGAGAAGTGTATGTTCTTTTCATTTTTAGGTTGGGTCTTTAAATATGGGGGGGTCTGATTATTTTCAATTCTTTATATGTTCTAGATATAAATCCTTTGTCTGAGGGACAGTTAGCTAAAATTTTTCCCCACTCTGGGTTGTCTTTTCACTCTACTGGTGATTTCTTTTGATGTAAAAAAGCTTTTTAATAGGATGAGATTCCAGTTGTTGATTTTTTGAAGAGTTTCCCATGCAGTTTGTATTTTCTTCATGAACTCTCTGCCTACCTAGACATAAGTTGTTAAGATTTCTACCTACTTTCTTTTACAGTAGATTTAGTGTTTCTTCTTTAATATGTAGGTATTTGATCCATTTTGACTTTAGTTTAGCGAATGATGATAGACATGGATATAGTTTTAGTCTTCAGCATGTAGAGAGCCACTTTTTCCAGCACTATTTATTGAAGAGGCTATCTTTCTTCCAGTGAACATGTTTGGCCCCTTTGTTAAAGACAAGGTGGCTGAGTGTGTTTGTAGTTGTGTTCACATCTAATCTGTTCCATTGGCCCTCAGTTCTGTCTTTTTCCCAGACCATGCTGATTTTATCACAGTAGCTTTGTAGTATCATTTCAAGTCAGGGACTGTGATGTCTCCTGCCTTGCCTTTGTTGGCCAGGACTGCCTTTGCTAGTCTAGGTCTCTCCTGGTTCCAATACTAGCAAGCAGAATTCAACAAATCATCAAGAAGATTATATATCATGACCAGGTGGGTTTTATCCCGGGAATGCAGGGACAGTTCAACATACCCAAATCAATAAATGTAATATACCATATCAACAGAGCCAGAGACAAAAATCACATGATTATCTCACTAGATGCATAAAAAGCTTTTCATAAAGTCCAACACTAATTTATGATAAATGCCCTACATAAAAGTGGAATAGATGGTCTTTATCTCAATCTGATAAAAGTAATCTATGACAACTAATGGCCAACAGTATACTAAATGGATAAAAATTGAAAGCTTTCACTCTACAATCAGGAAAAGACAAGGATGTCCACTCTCACCATTCCTTTCAACATAGTTCTGGAAACATTAGCCAGAGCAATTAGACAAGAGAGAGAGAAATAAAAGAAATAAGGATAGGAAACAAAGAAGTTAAATTATCATTATTAGCAGATGACATGGTACTCTACATAGAAGACCCCCAAAACTCCACCAAGAGACTCCTAGAGTTAGTAACCAAATTCAGTTGTGTGGCTGAATACAAAGTCAATACTAAAAAATCAATAGCATTCTTGTACACAAACAACAAAGTTACTGAGAGAGAAATTGAGGAAACCACACCCTTCACCATAGCATCCAAAAAGTGAAACACTTAAGAATCAATCTAACAAAGGAAGTAAAAGACCTATATATTGAAAATTGGAGTACTTTGGAAAATAAGATCGAAGAGGATATCAAAAAAATGGAAAGATATCCCTTGCTCCTGATGAGAAGAATCAACATTGTGAAAATGGTCATATTCCCGAAACTGCTACACAGATTTAATGCAATTCTGATGAAGATACCATTAACATACCTCACAGAATTGGAGAAAAATTTCATCCTTTTGAAAAGACAAATAATATTTCCTTGTGTGTACATATTACTTTTCTATATACATCTGTTGGTGGATATTAGGATTCCTTCCGCCCCTTTTGCTGGTGCAAGTGGAGCTGCTATGAATATGTGTGTATGAGTACACACTGTGTTTGGATCGCTCTCTTCAAATCTATGGGAGTGTATATTTAGAAGAGGATTCTGTAACGTCTTTGTGAAGTTGTAGTCTTATTTTAAGGAATATCCTGGCTTAGATCTGACATCACTGTTTGCTCTACTATCATTTTATTTCCATCAGTGGTTTCACATGTAAAGTGATGGTTGTAATAGGAGATGAAGAAGATGGTCTGTTAAGTGCGGGACTTGAGTATAAATCTGGGGAAGTAACTTCTTTCCCAGTAGGATCCTACTGAAACTATGACTTACATGGATTGGAATCTTGATAGGACAGAATTCAAAAAGCAATGTTAAACATACTGAGCTGGGCTGAATAAAAAGGTAAGCAAACCAGGAGCACATGCTGACTGTTAATCATCGTTGTAGTCAGACTGCTGTGTTTCTTCAGTGAGCTGAGACAACTGTGGAGATTATATCTCCATCGCTGTTCAGTGAAATAATAGCGCACCAATCTCAAATGGTTGTTGGGAGGATCAAATGAGGAATTGCATTTTAGATATTTAGGATAACACTTCATTGACAGTGACATGAAATTAATACTTGATCTTATTATATTCCTTTATAAATGCAGCACCATTTTTCACTCCCACTTTTGTCTTCTTCCAAATTTTTTTCCTGAGACACTTATTTACAGATCCCAAGCCCCATTCCTTCCTGGTAGCCACATCCTCTTCAGTTTTAAGTGTCACCATTATACCCCAGCTCTTCACCAAAGAGGTTGTGTTTGTCATTCTGAGGCTTTCCTTTCCTCCTCTGGTCTCTTAACTTTTCTGCTAATTTTTGTGTCCTATGTCATCCCATTCCTTGCTTCTAAGTGGGGGAACCTAGAATATCTTTTCATATTTGGATGGCAATAGAGTTCAATAGAGTCCAAAGCATGTTAGGGGGAAGCCAGGCCCTGCCTGGCTGTGGTGTCTAAATCAGTGTCCTCCTGTTCTTGCTCCAACACAATGTCTTTCTACAGAGAAGAGTCAAAGCTGCTGTTCTGGTCTACAGTGAGGGTCTGTTCATTTGGGCAGCAAACACTGTCTGGAGGAGCAGAAAGGAGTCATCCACAGAAAGGTCAGCAAGAACTTTATTTTTTCGTAGGATCAGACCCAGACACTAACCAGACAGATACTGCAAGCCCTTTTTGTAGGCAGATACCAGGGTTGGTATTCTGTGGGCTCCTGGAAAGCAGGCAGGACGAGCCACTGGAGAGAACTCAGAGCTTTCTCAAAAAATATCTCAGTGCTAGAGAGACTGAAGCAGTTGGAAAAAATGCAGTAGGCTGGGAACAGTCCTTGAATTCTTCTTCCTTTAAAACTTCTCAACACCACTGCTAAGGTCAGCAGTGGCCCCCAGAGGCCTGGCCACAGCCAGAGCCCCCACACTGCCGCCCACTGTCACCATCACAGGAGTCCGAGCTCCGCAGCCTGCACCTGTGGGACCTGCGGCGCCTGTGGTGGCTCAGGCAGCAGCCTCCCTCGGAGCTGGAGCTGAGGCCGCCGCAGCCCCCAGA